GATCCTAGCCGCCCTAACCGTGAAGTAGCGCCTCCTGATATCTAACCTAAATCTACCTTCTGCCAGCTTGTGACCGTTATTAATAATCGATTCAGACCCTTTAATGTGTATCCTGATTTGATTCAGATTCAGCAATTTGCCCGCCAAATTAGGCCGAATCTCCTTCGAATTGAATCAACTACCAAAGCTTCACGCAGCCCTATAAGCCTCCTTTAACTTACTGAAGAGTTCCCTTCTAAGCTAAGCTGGTCTTCTTCCATACTTGCTAGTCTTGCTGCTCATCAAGCTAGTTTGTTCCTGTGTGCTCAGTAATGTTTCTTTAAAATACAACCAGCTCTCCTGGACTCCTTTCCCCTTCAGACTGGCCTCCTAGGGGATTCTGCCCATCAGTTCCTTGAATGAGTCAAAGTCTGCTTTTCTGAAGTCCAGGGTCATTACTGTGCTTCTCTCCTTCCTTCCTTTCCTCAGGATCATGAACCCAATCATCTCATGGTTGCTGCTGCCCTAATTGCCACCCACTACTACAGTGGTTCCCAATCTGTGGTACGCATACCACTAGTGGTATGCAGACAACTTGTCAGTGGTATGCATGCCCCACGCAACTTCTGCCCATGAGGGTCAGAGTGAGGTGCCCATGTATATGCCCCCCAACATACCCTATTGCACCTCGCTCCCACCCTCATGGGCAGAAGGGCCAAGCTCCACCAGTACACAGCTTCTGGGTGGAGCTGCTGGTGCTGCAGCCCCTGGGGTCCTGCTCTGCTTCCCTGGTCTCCTGCTGGCTCTGGACAGCAGATAGGGAAGCAGCAGGGGCAGGGCTGCAGCTGAGCAGAAGCACGGGGCTTGGGGCTGAGGATGGCAGCAGTGCAGAGCCTGCACCCAGTGGGTATGAGGGAAGGTGGGGTGTGTGGGGACCTGCCCACACTTCCCTCATGGTGTGCAGCCCTGGCAGGCAGCAGGAGCAGCAGCAGCAGATGGGGGCACTCAGGGCACTTGTGCCCGGCACAGGCGCCCTGTAGGGCATGGCTCCAACCAGCACTGCACATCGCAGTGGGGGGTGCAGCCTCTGCTGGGCTATCAGCATCACTGGTACTCCCCACATGCACGTGTAGCTCTCACACTTGCCAGGCATGGAAGAGAAGCCCCTTCCATGCCCGGCAAATGTGATGGACCAGACTGTCTTCCCCACTGGGGCTGTGTGGCATGGGAGGGAAGACGCAGGCATCTTCCCCTGGGGAGTGGGGAAGGCAGCCGGCTCCAGTGCATGGGGCTTCTCTCCTGTGCCCATCAAGTGAAGGGAGTGCTAGCGATACAGACTGCCCAGTGGAGGATGCTCCTCTCACTGCAATGTGCAGCGCTGGCTGGAGCCGTGCCCTGCTGGGCACCTGAGCCCTGAGTACCCTGAGCACCTCTGCCTGCTGCTGCTCTATGGGGGGAGTGCAGGGGGTCCCCACACACCCCCGTCCTCCCTCATACCCCACTGTGGCAGGACACTGTTTGTGTCTGCCACTTTAAGACCTGGGGCCAAGCAGCCAGCAGGTATTTAATTGCGACAGCCATTTTAGAGCTCTGGCCACCCATGTAAACAGGACATTTTGCTGTTGGCTGGAGGCTTCATGGAACATCCTGGAGGTAAGGGCAGGAGCTGTAGGGGATGGTCAGGAGGCTCCTGGTCCTGGGCATGACCTAAATCCTGCAGGGAGTGGATGGCCTGGTGGGGCTCTCAGTGGCGCAGGAGCCCCCAGGAAATGCCAGGCCAGTTACCACCCCGGTGAAAGGTAGGTCAGAGTGCCTTAACCCCTAGCCCCCACAACCGGGTAGGTCACCTGCTAATAGGGCCAGAAGGTACGCCCCAGAGATAGAGTGGGGCTATAGACTGAGACTGATTGAGAGAGTACCCTCGACTGGTCAATGGTGGGGCCTGGAGCAGCATGGTGAAAAGGGCCAGGGGCCCACCGTGAGGGACGCCCAAGCTAGGAGGGCCTGGGGTTTCCAACTGGCCTTGGAGGTGTTGGCCAGAGGTCCCAGGGGGGACCATACCCAAGAGGGGAAAATAGTTTCAGGGAGCTAGATAGCCTGAATGAAGGTGGGGTAGGCTGCCTGAATGGAGGGATCTTGGAGGGGCCCAGTGTGGGGCTGGTGGGAGTAACAGCTGGATGCCATCTGTGAGACATGGCTTGCAGTGTAGGGGAGGTACAGAGCTGGAGATAGCGCCCCCTGGCATCGGGGCAAGGAAATGGGCAGCCTCCCACTTAATTAACAACAATTAATTAATTAACATCAAGGCGTGGTGGGCGAGAAGGCGGGCAGTTGGCCCAGAACAGGTGGGCAGGTCAAAGGCAAATTGGCCCAGAGAGGGCCCCCCCGTTACACTCACAAACCCCACACACCCACACAACCTGCCTCCACAACTCCCCACATATACACAACCCCCAACATACCCTATGCTCCCACACACACACAGTCACACCCCCTCACAACCCCTCCGACACCTTACTATACACACACACACCCACATCCCCCAACCTTCCCCCCCCACACACACACACACTCCACCACTCACACACATGCATGTACACATACACCACCTTAAGTGCTGGTGGTATTTAAGGTTGTATTGTTTTAAACTGGTGGTATGCAATCTGTCAGAGTTTAGGAATCACTGCACTACTACATCCCCCACCAGTTCTTCCCTGTTTGTGAGCAGCAGATCAAGAACAGCATGGTCCCTATTTGGCCTCTGCAAAACCTGCTCCTGGAAATTGTCCCCAACACTCTCCAAAAACTTCCTGGACTGCCAGTGAACTGCTATATTGCCCTCCCAGCAGATGTCAGGGTGATTGAAGTCCCCCATGAGAACTTGGGGCTGTGATCGAGAAACTTCCACTAGCTGTTTGAAGAAAGTCTCATCCATCTAATGACTGGCATTCAGTCTTCTTTCCTGTGCCACTGCTGGGGAAAGCCCATGGAATGTTCTTTACTGTAGCTACTAATGATGGTTACATGTTTCACAAGGAAACTCTCCAACTGTATGTAGAAAATTCTGGGAAAGGTACTGGTTCTTCTAGGTAGGGGAATGAGAAGAATGTTTCAATGAGCTCTTTCATACTTTACTACATCTGGGAGATATTTTGTGACTATACTGCCCAATTTTAGGGCAGAATTGTCAAAAGGAGCAAATGGATAGAGGGTTTTCAAATGCACTGGAGTAAGTAAAATAGATTTCTAATTCCCATCAGAAGACAATGCACCTTAGGCACCTAACTCCTGTAAGCACTTTTGAAAATTCCTTATCTAAATTGACCTGAGCTGGTATAAAAGAACTCCCAGTTGATATAACCGATCAACTAAATAATCAAGAATTAGACCATCTGGTATCCAATTTTGATCTTGAAAAACCCAGTGTTCTTTCAGAATTTTTCGTACAGGAACGTATGGGCATTATCTGTTAATTAGAACATACTGAACCTTAATTAACTTTGTTTTCCAGATTTGGACTCCTGAAGCTACAACAGAAGATCTAATAAGAAAGCGGGAAATGCGTCGTGAGCGTTTTACTTACGAGGTGGACTTTGAAGACTTCATGATGCCTTTTAAGCGGAATTTCATGGAAAAAGCACGTCAATTAGAAATGGCTTCCTAAATTAAAGCCATGGCTTTCTTTTGAATAAAGTTCAGAAGGGGATTAAAAGACAATTCTGTCTTCCTTTGTGAGGACAAGATCATGTAGCCCTTATTTAACATCTGACAATTATGATACCATTTTTGCATATTTTTTTTTTCCTTTGTACAAACTAGTTTCCTTGCACTGAAGGGTCAAGGGCTTAAACTTGGAAGATGCTGCATCAGCTCCAAGGTTCCAGAAGCCTCAGAGGAGCAGACCCTGGCTTGCCAGGGCACTCAGTCCACAAAGTCAGCTGATATAAGAAATGCATCCTTCTTATTTAAAGCCATTTTTTGGAAACAGGGAACAGCTCTTCCAAGGGCAAGTAGCAGGTTTATTTTTTTTCTCTTAGGATATTAAAATGATAGTATGTGAACAGGATAATTTAATGACCGAATAAATCATATATATATATATATATATGTCCTCATTTGGCTCAGTGAAACTGGGTCTTCAGTGAAGGCAAAATCACTGTGTTTCACTTTTCAGAGAGATAGTAGACATATTCCTACTACTTAAAATTCAGACCAAGCCATAACAAGTAGGTCTGGCATTAACTCGTTTACACATTGTTCATTTTGCTAAGTGTGAGAGAAACAGATATTGGGCCTCTTTCACCAATGAATTAGTTCAGTTCTGTGCTGTTCCATTACAATTATGACTCAGGCCCTTCAGTTCCTGTCAACATACTGAGCAAGACTAGACAAGATGCTTTACTGCTCAGTAGATGAATTCTACTGCACATTAGTGTGCACAGCAAAAACTATACTAATATGCCAGTGCACAATAGTTTTAGTCTACTGTGCATTAAGCATCATACAAAAAGTGTGCGATCATGCTAATGTGCAGTACGGCAGCCTACTGGGCATTTATTTAGTACCTGATTATACAAGTACTAAATTTAATGTGCAGTAAGCACTGCGCATTAATGAATGTGTAGACGGGCCCACTGTGGCCTAAACTTGCAGAAGAATGATCACTAGTACTGTGACAGCAGTTTCTCTCTCTCAAGTATGAATAAAGCCTATCTAAATCAACGTGTGTTCTAGGCATGAGTAAGAAAGGCTGTCAAGTATTGTTTCTATTTTTCAAGTAGGCTTTGTGATTTTGGGTGGAAATGTACAGACCAGCATACCTATTTCCTCTGCCTGAAGAAGGCTGAAAAGACTGGAACTGTTTGGTTAGAAGAGGTAAATGAGTGAGTATGTAACCGAGGTATCTGAAATAACAAAAAGTGTAGAGAAGGTAAATCGGGCCCTTCTACTTACTCTTATAACTCGGGGACAATGGGATCACCAGTGAAATGGAAAGGTAGCACATGAACCCAATGCAAGGCAATATTTTAACATAACGCATAAGTAACCAGTGGAATTGCATGATTCGTATGTAACCCTTCTGCTGGGCACCAGATGCCAGCAACAAGGGCCCGGTTCAAATTTCAGGGTACTCAGTAGGTTTTTAGTGTGGCTCAAACTTCCACCCAGAAATCTGGGATCACTAAATTTGGCTGGGGTGTCCCACATAAACAAAACCCCCTCCTCTCAAGCAGTGTAAACCCAAAAGCACAGATTTATGACAAAAACCAAAGGCAAAAGAAACAAAGGAATACACCAAATACAATTTGAAACACTATCAACTACAAGGCATAGTTTTGAGCTTGCACCCTTTCGGGTAGACTACACCCATGCCCAGGCAGCCTGAGACATGGGGGACTCACCCAAAGGGTTGGTTCTGGGGGCCTGCACCCCTCTACTTGCCACTTAGCAATGGGTGGTGCAGGAGGGGCCCGCACTGGAGGATCTTATGAGCTGCTCCTAGGGGTTTGCAGTGCTTCAGGGAGTTGCTAGTGAGTAGGCCCTTCTGTGATTTAACAGACCCCATGTCTGGGTGTCTGCGGCTCCAGTCAGCATACTGCACCCCCAAAATTCCTAGTCCCAATCCCACAGCTTCAACTTGGTTATAATAGCTGCAAAAGAAGTTAAAGAGGAGCCAGGCCTATCCTGCCTTGGAGCATGAACTACATCTAGTGTCAGCTACAGTTAATCTGAGACAAAGAGGCAACAAGCTCCTAATGCAACAAAAAGAGCCAGACCTATATGCACCAGGGCCTGGAGTACAGCCAGAGTCAGCCCCACAGCTGGCTGAGACAAAAGAAACTGCAGCAGCAACAAAAAGAGCTAAACCTCAATCCTGCCCCAAAACTTGCCAGGCCTCAATCTTGGTAAAAAATCTGCTAGACCTTAGGGATTGATGCCCCCACAGTATTATCCCATTCAAAACCCAGGAAAAATCAGGGAAAGAGGGAGAGGAGAGGAGCCCAAACTCTGAGACAGACTCCCTCGTTCAACTTTACCTCAGATTTCTCCTTCACATAACACTAACTCATTTCTCCAGTGAACAAGGGAGAGTGCCCAACCCCCTTCCCCGCCCCCACCGGGAGCAGTTTTCTCCAGCTTGCAATTCAGCTATAGATAGACCCCTTCTGGATCTCCCTAGGTCCCCAGCTGCTTCATACTCTTGGCTTCTGGGCTGATAGCAACTCCTCAGGTTGGTTGGCTATCTGTTATCCCTCCAGTCAGCAAGTTCTGTTCATGGTGGGAGCTAGAGCTAAACTGCCCTCTCTAGTTCAGGAGTCAGGGTTTTAATGGGCTGGAGCTCTGCCTCCTCTAGTCATATGGCTCAGCCTTCAGCCTGCTCTTAGGTGTTATAGTTGAAGCCCTGAGCCAGGGACACTGCTGCCTTCTGCCCCGCTTCCCTTTAACCCCTTATGGGGGTTCCCTGGCTGCATGTAGCCACCACAGCTGACCCATGTCCAGCTGCCTGCTTCATGCAGTCTTTTGGGCTGGCTCCTTACCTCGCAAGTAGCATGGGTTAGAGGTCCCTCCTACAGTTAGCTGTGCTATTTACTAGTAACAAACAGAAACTTGAAGCAGTTGACTTCAGGATATCAGTTATGAAAGTAATTATTAGGGCATTTGAAAATTGGGAGCCAGACTCCAGGTGGTATAAATACACTTACTTCTGTTGACTCTGCACTATCTAGGGCTCTAGTCCTCTGATCTTGTTCCTCTGACAGGCCATGTATAGACATTACATTTTACCAGTGTAAATGATTGGAAACCAGTCTATACTTGTAACAGAAGTTCAGCACACAAAACCAGTCTATACTTGTAACAGAACAGAAGTTTGGCACAAATAGGGCATGTGTAAATGAAACGGGGGCCCTAAATTGAAGCGGTGGGTTTTTACAAACACCGCTTCAATTTAGGGCTCTTTAAACCCCTGTGTCGTGCACACACCCAAACTTACCTGCCACTCTGGCGGCAGGGAGGGGAGGGTGAGCTGCTGATGTGCAAAGTGGTCCCTGGGCTGCAGCAGGTGCTGGTGCTTCCCTCCACGGCAGTGGGGGCCCCCCCAGGTGCACCTACCCACAGGCACCTACCCACAGGCATCTGGCTCGGGCGGTCCCAGGGGGCACCACAGCTGTAGAGGGAAGCACCTGACTCCCGTGCAGTTCAGGCAGGCTCCAGGCAGGCTTTTTTTTTTTCTTGGGCACGGCTTGCCTTCCCGGGCTGCTGCCAGGCTGCCTGCATGGGCTTCCTGCAGAGCTGCTGAGCTGCATGGAGCCTGGTGATTCACTCTGTGGCTGTAGGGTGGCAAACTAAAACTCCTCGGGGGAGTTTTAGTTTGCTGTGCCCCCAAGGCATTTAAGGTGCGTTATGCCGCTGAAATTGCTACAGTGGCTGAAATTACTGCGCAATATGCCTCTGATGTGTGCAAGCACCAACACCATTAAAGCAGTGCAAAAGCGTTTAACACGCTTTAAAGCATTGTGCACACATGCCCCTCGTTTTGTCTACACATGGCCATTGACTCACTTAAAAATGGCAATCTGACATTTGCCCCCCACACCAAAGGGTGAATGTATGTTCTCTTCATTACCAATCTAAACTCTGCTGCTTGCAGAAAACTGTGTAACTTAGATTGATTCTTCTGCGGGCTTTTTGAATGTCTGTACCTAGCCACAGTACAAACCCAGTGCAGGGTAATTTACAGTGGCAAGTACTTTTACGTGATTATTTAGATGAAAGTTGCCATCATCGCACTAACTTAAAATCCTCATGGCAAGGTGTTTGGTTCGGAAACGTGCCCCAATACTGACTAAAGCTATCTTTATTTATTATATTCATTGCAATAGAAGGCTATAGCAGAAGTGCTCATGGTGCGGCCCTGTCAGATTCCAGTGAATCTAATAATTCTGCTAAATACTATGTCATAAGGACCTGAAAAAGGAAGGATTCCAACTAGAGGCTTTTCTCAAGGTAAACAGGAGGCACTGTGCTCATAGCAATGATCTTGGATTCGTGACTTGGACATGGTATCTTTGATGGTCAGGGTAAAACTTCCGTTTAGGCCCAGGTAGTTGTAAATGATAAAATAATTGCACTGAAACTGTTTCTAGGCATCAGTGCAAATGAGAATGAGAGGGAACACAAATAATCAGGGATAAAAAAACAGTATGATTTAAAACAGAAGAAGCATCAGGATCAGTGTGATAAACCATCTGCACTGAAATAAACTGAACAATCTGGCTAGAGATACTGATAAGCCATATCATATTGGAAATTACAATGTTCAGGGCAGGGGCGTACTGTGGGAATTAGCTGGGAGACTTTTCTCCACCATTAGAGTCAGCTACACAATCATTCTCCAGTAAATATCCTACACTGAAGTAATTGCTGCAATGCTTGCTTTACTCATGTGGCAGAGAAGACCTTAGCATCTATGAATTTATGAATCTATGAATTCTGTTCAAATACAGTAGAAAAATGTAACTAGGCCTGTGTAGAAGAATGTTTCCCACATAACTCAAAACGCCTGAGCCTGAATTGATTCAACCTTTGCAGGTTAGTTTAACCTCCCTAGATTGAAGCAATCTGCAAGTGAATAGACATGCCTTCTGGACTAAGAAATGCAGAGAAGCTGTGGTGGGGGGTGCATGGCCAGCCCTGGCAGTAGCCTGAAGTGAACT